GAATGCCTTCTGCTTCCACCTGCCTCTGATAAGCTGTCCAAACTGAAAAAGATGTGAATGTTTTGTCTTTTGAGATAACCCCACCCTGGTGACAGCAATGTGGTCTTAGTAGGCTGACCAGCACAATCAGTAGTGGTTAGAATCAGCACACATTCTGCTGACCTCAGCAGCATCTTCTTTCTTGTTTTCATCTCTCTGTGACTCCAAGGTAGTCTACCTGCTCAGACTGATGCTTGCTGAAAATTACTTTCTTCATTCTTGGCAGCAATAGTCCTCTCTGGATGTGAGAGATGACTGGAGATAGCTGGCTTTTCTAGCTTCTGCCTTTTCAGGCACATTCCTTTTAATTTCAGAGCTGAGGTGAAGACACTGCCTCCCTCCCAAACAGGTAGTGCCTGTTGCCACGGAGGGCAAGGGTAGTGATGATGCAGGCTGGGCAATATCTAAACCTAGAGAGTTTAAATCCAAACTGAAGCAAACACAGGGCACCAGGGTACAGAAGTGTCTTACCTGAAAGAGAGATGAAGTTACAAGATTTCTGCCTCAAAGGTTTTGGAGGATGAGATTACAATGGTGAAAGCAGCTCAGACACTTACTGGCCTCCATTTCACCATCACAAATGGTAAGAGGAAACGAAGGCAGGACCAACACACATACGTGCTCTGCCTTCCTGCAGAAGCACCTCCCTATTGAGCTCACTGGTAGCATACTAAAAAAAAAAAATCAACCCCCAATAATAGCTGTTGCATGACAGGCAGGGATAAGAAAGTTACGTGGTCTTGAGCTTTTTAAGAGAAGTATTACTGTAACATCAGCCAAGAGAAATTCAGAGAACAGCTTTAACCACAACTTCAGAAAACACAAATTATGCAAACAGGCAAATGTACAAACCCAGTTTTCCATCAAGCAAACTAGCACATATTCTCCATAATCCATATTACTGAAGACAAATTAAATCAGTTTTTCCACCAAGCCAGTACATTAAAAAATACCTAGTTAATTTTGACTGTTGTATTTTTGTTGTACAAAATATCTTATTTATATAAGAGGATCTGATTTAGTTGGCAGGTTTTAGTTGCTATAGAAGAGATTGTCAACCTCACCAAGCCTGCATCCTTTCTAACCCCCTCTTTTGTTTTGTTTTGATGGGGAAAGAATATTCTTCTGCCCTCGACTGAATGTGCAGAATTCAGTTTTCCTTATTTGAAAGGAAACATTGTCAAGAGAAATATAATTTATGTTCTAGTGCCATGTGTTTCATATTTTCTGACAACTGTAGATTAAACTTCATTCAAAGGTGATAATTAAAATTTTTATGAGCATATCTAATATTAAACAGCTACTGGCAGGCTATGGTGCCCTGACTGCTTAATGCACAAGGGAGAAAAGCAATAAAAATTAACTGTCACAGCAGCAGCTTGATCTTTCCTGTCAGCTACCAAAATTGTACTCTCAGTCATGAGACTCTCCCCCTGTATCTACATTACTGAATCTGTACAGTGAAACAGTTCTCCTCGCATCATCTGGCCAAACCTTATACAGAACAAGAAAAGAACAGACAACTTCAAAATAAAGTGTTATTAATTTTATTACAACTAAGTAGTTAATCTAGGGTGCTGCTCTGGGTAATAAATTGAACTGTTGAAAATATAGGCAGAAGCATTAAGCTGTATCTCTTTTCAGCAAAAATTAGGTTTTTGACTAAGGGTTCCACAGTCACTTTCAAGCAATCTGAGGAAGCATCTTGATGAATGTATATAACTAGATTTTTTTTTTCTGTTTTTAACCAGTTGTATTTCCTTATCTGGCTCAAGGCATGAAAATCTTTGGTGCTACCAAGTCCTCCTTTTTCAGTGGCAGCCAATACTCATATCAACTTGAAGTTGTCAGGGATGGCTGCAGCCTGGATTAAGCTATCTGTTGGAGGAAACAGTTTTTTCTAGTTTAAACAAGGTATAAAAGATGCAAACACTAGGGTCTCAATCCTAAGAGAAATTCAGTGTGTGTAACCTTATTTAATTAAATCATTAAAAATGTATGCTATAAACATTATCCACACAGGAACCTACTGCTCAAACAAAACAAAAATGGTACATCTTAAACAGTTTAATAGAAGCTGCATGGATTCTGCAGAGTATTACGCTACTCACAGTAAATTATGTATCACACACAGACAACATAAGCAGTCATAACTTACGAAATGCTAGAATTAAGATGGTCCCTTCAAATTCAATCATGCTGTACTCCACAGAAATTTTGCATTACTTAGTAAGTATTTCTGCATAGAACTACCAGCCCATTCCTCAAACGTATATAGAGAGGTCACTTCACTTGCCATTTTTAAAAATTCTGTTTAATTGTTCCATGTTTCATTTTTTGCATATAATTGAACAGAATAAAATAGAAAGATGATAAATACATCAAAAAGACTGACAAACATCAACAGAAAGTAAGTCAAGGTGTACACCACTTTCAGAACTTCTCTATGTTCACTAATAACAGGATATAATAAACTAAATACCCCCAAAAAAATCAAATTTGGGCTCCAAAAGAACAAAGAATTGAACAGTACCCACTGCATTTCTATAAAGGTGAAGAGATGAGAGAAAAACGCCAGACTTTTTTACCTCCTTCATATGCTTAGGGAGTTGAAAGATTTAAGCCATTAAGTTTTAAAAAGCTCTCATATTTGACTAAAATCTGTCACATTCTTTACTGCATTTTGAAGGGAGGGGCAGCTGAAAGATATCCCAGGGAAGAGATAAAGCCTTTGTTCAGGCTCACGGTGTATTTCACTACAGAAGGTTTGTCAGTATAGGTTAAGATGGCTTGCATGCGTATCCAAAAGGGCTAAAAGGCAGAGTCCCAAGACTGAGGAATGGTTTCTGAAGCAAGCTTTGCATCTTCCCGGTCCCTGCCACATCTTTGAGGAGATCCCAGATATCAAGAGTGAGTTATACAAGGTGAACAGAGCTTTGAAGTTCTAAACTGATTGGAATGACAGTGAGGTGTATGAAGGTCCTGAAGAGCTCAATCACTTTGAGCATTTCAAGACAAAGTGTAGAAAAGCAGATACCAGGTAGATCAAAGATGCAGCAACTGTCCATTAGCTTGGATGTCTTGGCTTTGACACTATCAGGTGCCCTTGCCTACATTCCATTGAAATATCTGTCTGCAGAGAGGAATTAAGTCACAGAGAGGAGACTACCTAGCAGTTCACTGGGAAGTTGCAATGAAAAATGGGCAAAGCGCAGATGTCATATTTACGCATAGTCTCTTAGCAACCTTTTAGCTCAGAGACTTTTTTCAGCAACTCTGTTTCTGCTTTTTCTAGACTTACAGTAGTCAAGAAGAGAGGTGGTAATTCTTGCCAGCCATTTAAATCAAGAAGGGTGGTTTCAAGACATGCCAGGATAAAGGAAGTAGTTTCTGTGTTCTACTACATTTAGATGGCAGAGGTTCTATTTCCCCAAGAAAGCACCAGCAGCAAGTTTGCACTAGAGAATTCTGGAAGCTTCTCTACATTGAAAACAAAGGTGGAAAGACGCAAAGGTATCTTACCCAAAAAGCCAGAGGGCTTCCCAAGGACTTCAACCTGAAGCATAACATGGTAATTTCAAACAATTTTCATTTCCTTCTACAAACCAGCTTCATTACTTGATTTGAAGTCATTAGAGCATTGCTTATTCTGATGAAGTTTCCGATTCATAACCTGCTCCTACTAAAAGTCTGCTAACTCCACTGAAGTTTTACTGCCACAGTCATAATGATTCAAACATTTTCATAAAACCTTGAGATCATTAAAACCACTGTGTATAAAGAGTCCTAACATCCTGATTAAGTGACCCCTGAAGATTTATATTCCCATTTGCTTTTGCATGTACATGTTTCCATGATCTTAAAATACACATCAGTTGAACAGATTTACAAGACAAACTTCCACACAGGTGGAATTCCCTTCCCTCAGCATTCCTGACCTACAAATGGGAATACAAGTGAGAAATGTGATATCATAAATGCTTGCTCAGCAGTAAAACAGAGCCTCTTTGCACATATCAAAGATCAATGTTGTAAACTTTTGTGACAGTATTGTATATGACCGCTAGCTTAGGAAAGACAAACCAATAAAATATTCCTTTGGGGCACTGACTGATTAATACAAACACATCCGAAGATAGAATTTTAGTCCAATTTCTTCAAGAAGAAAACCAAAAAAAAAATAAAGTGAACAGTTTATAAACATGTTTATCTTGATGTTATACTTAGTGGTTTTATAACAATTAATTCAAGTAAAAAGTTGGTATTTAGGCATGCATTGAAAATACTGCTAATAAAGAGGTGACTAGAACCAGCAATGTACATATAAATTAATGACTCCTCCATCAGTAAAAAAAATATTGAAAGCCTTTGCCTGAAACTGAGAATTGTCTTTTTATTACCATTTATGATTTTTATGGCATTCATTCATTAAGAATGTGTTCTTAAGAAGTATTTTCAGTCACATACTGTATTTTATTATATCTCAAATAATACTATTTATAAGACAGAACTTGTGATACTAAGCTCCATTTTGTGGCAGATTTAAACTAAGAAGAAATCCAAGGCTACTCAAACATCCCTGAATAGACTGAACAATTTAATATATCACAAAAACTGATATGTAGAGAAGGAAGCTATAAAAATATTAACTCCCAAGATTTGCTACAGATACTGGAAAGAAAACAAGCCTTCCTGTATTTTTTTAAGTTAACAGTGCTAACAGTGCTACTGCACAGATTAGGAAGAGCAATTTTGCGGTGCATATTTTAAAAAAATTTCCTCTCAAATAATACCCCTTGCAAGCTCAAACAGAAATTCTGCCAAAGCGCCAAGTGATATTTCCTACATTGTATTCACTGGGTTATTTGAGGTTGCTTGAAAGGGCCATGACAACAAACAAAATCCTGACAAAAGCCACAAGAAAAGTCATCATGATTCAATGAGAAAGTAATCCAACCAGCATTGTTTTTCAAGTGACATGGTTAATACACAGACGCAAGACCATAACTGGATACTAAATATCACTTCACAAAGTGAAAACAGAGATTCATTTTCATAAAGCCAGATCTCCCCAGGACATCTCATCTCATATTGTTGCCTGATCTTTTATTTTTATTTTTTCTGCTTGACTGCAATGATTTGGAAGCAGCTTTCACTTAGAATCCTTTGTATTGCATTTTAGCTTATAACCAGTTTGCATTGACCATCCAGAAGAAAATTCAAGTTGCTAAATTCCTATGCTGTGATAACACTAAGCTTGAATACAAAGCAAAAGTGTCATTTTAAGTAGAGAGAAGACTGTTGTTGGCATCCAGAAGCTGTTGCTATTGTGATTAAAACAAATTCTACTTGAAGCACCTTAAACCCCTCCCAGAATACATTTCTAACTAGGAAGCTAAAGCTGTGACTCACAATTGTATTTAGACTAAAACGTAGTTTTCCCGTGTCTAGAGTGATGTTTAAATTCTCCAGAAAGACAACTCACCATGGTTCCAAAGGGTATAGCTCTTGAAGCATGATAATAGATGGCGATGAAGTTAATGAAGAAGGCAGTTCCACACACCATTGCTGGAATAAGGAAGGCTCCAATAAACATCTGCTTTATCCATCGCCTTCCTGTAAGAAGGGACATTCCAATGGGACTGGTGAGATACGGTATATTTTGTTTAAAAAGTTATCAGCAAGCTCTCCAGAATTTAGGTGTTTGGCGGCTTCTCCCCCAAAAAGGTGAAAGAAATAAGTAACAACATACTACATCGATACAAGAGCCAAGAGTCAACTAGCAGTTTCATTTGACTCTGGCAACCCACAAGATGCAGCACATGAATCAATTTATCAGGCCAGGTGAAGAGACAGGAAAAAGGATACAGCGTGAGAACATTTTGGCTGAACAGCATATGCTGACTAAGCTGGCCAAAGAACCCAGGGTATGAAACACTAAGTGTATATGTAAGCTGCAGATTAGTAGAGACAGAGATAGCAGAGTTGGCCCGGTGCAGAGCCTGCTCACGCCCTCAGAGCACATGGGAGCTCAGCACTGCTCCTGGGACAACTCAGCACTACAGCTGCTTTCAGGCAGCATCTGCTCTGGGTTGTCTTGACCCCACTAAGCTGACTCCATACATTCAGGATGCATCCCTGGTATAAAGCAAAATGCCACAGCATTTAATATACAGTAAAATTGAACTCAGACATCTTCAACAGCAGGAAAGGTAGAAGGAAAGCGATTTCTAAACCCCAGGCATAAAGGGAACAGCAAAACTTGTTAGCAGTTGTTAGTAAGTTTAGAGCTCCCCGAGGAGCTCAAAAAAACCCTCTTGGGCAATAACTTAAGAGTTTTCATTGTCTATATTCCCTTTACTTTCTATGCTCTTAAATACGGTCAGTATTTAAACTTAGTACACCATAGATGCATGTGTAATATACACTAAATAAAAAGCAGTCAGAAAACTAGTGTATACTTTCAAAACCATCATACGTGTTTTCACCATGAGCCAACATAATCAGCATCTCACATTTGATCTGTAGAAAAAAATGCAAATCTGGCTCAACTATACAGCACAGTACATTTCAGAACAGCAACCCTAAGCTACTTATATCTGTTTTTTTACAAATCACTAGGTTTATACAAAAGCCACATGAAAGGAAACATCTAACCTCTAAACACAGAGTAGATTAGAGTGCAGTTGAGACTGAATACAAACAAGTGTCTCATGCTAAAAAGATACAAATTTTCTTTTGCAAACTTACCAGAATTATTTTTTCTAAAGCACTGTAGAAGATAATAGATATTGATTACTCTTGTATTGCAGTATAGGGAATGGACGGAGCTAGTGGACTGCAAGGATGTAATTGGTCATAACTCAGAGGCATAGTGGGGAGCACTTGAAGACAGCCTGTCCAAATCTGTTAGGTCAGTTTTGTTGGGCTTCTGCTCTCTACCGATACTCATTTTGAATTTACTAAGTATAAAGCAGAGCACATACTGAAAAGTAGAATAACCTTCTTTAAAAGATGCTATGAACAGTTTTCCCCATCCACAATTAAGGTCTAGTAAGAACTGTGTACTCATCCTTTCAGTGGTTAGTAAATATAACCCCCTCCCCGGTACCTATCGAGGAGGGCTATGTAGTAGTCATCTGGAGAAGATAACATGAGCTGCTTAATAGCACATTACAGAAGAAGGGAAGACTATTATACTCTGTGGATGTCATGAGCCAGACAATTATACACAAGAGTGTAACAAGCAATTCATAAGATACAACTGTTAACAGTTCTTTAGCTCTTATTACTTTTAAATTAACCAAAGACTTCAGCTATCTTTGGTTAGAAAATGCAGCCAGTACTGAATAGGAAATAATATGAAAGTTAAATATACTCAAAATATTTTCTGTTTATTAAGAATATAAAGGATTCCATCTGCACGACCTAACTCCACAAGGACACTTCTATAATGGTGCAAATCAGAAAATAACAACTTCTCCATTTAACAATGTAATGAAAATGCTGAAACATGAAAACAATTTACCTCCTTGTCTAGCATAAAGGCTTCCTCCAAAATATCCATTCACTGGTGATGTTGCAGCATAAACAAATATAGCTGTACTAAGCATTGATCCTCTCCTACAAGAAGTGATTTTTTTGGTAAATGAAATAGAAAAACAAATAATATTACAGCAAAATATGTTCATTTAGCAGAAGCGGTTATTTAATATTCTTAATTAAGTTAAAAATTTAGAAGTGCTTAAATTGTAAAATCTGCCTAAGAATGACAACTGTTTGTATCCAAAGCTTCTGGCCAAGTCGAATTCAACCTAAGAAAAAGAGTCCTGATGTACTACATTCTTTTCTAATACGCATTTATTTTCACTGGAGTACAAAAATCTCACCTCTGATCAAAATACCCTAACATTTAGATGCGTGTACCTTCTGTATAAAGAACTGAAGTATTTATATGACATATATGAAGTGTAAGATTCAACCATTGCGGATAAAAGGTCCTCTTAATATAAAGGGCAGTGTTAACAAAAATACACTAAGATTGTGAATGATGTTTCTGACATCCCTCAGAAATGAGCTTATAAGATCAAAAGTGTTCACCTAACAGAAAATTAGAAAACCTGATTTAGAAACTATAAATACTGTAATGAAACCACAAATCAGCATGGAGTAGTCCAATCAGAAAAGTTAAGTCACTTTTAAATTATCACCTCATTAAATGTTGGAGTACTCTTTTTGGCATAATTTTTCTGAAATTTTACATGCAAGCTAATAATTTTAAATCAAAAAGCCATCTCCAAATACATTTTTAAGAATCAGGTCTAAGAATAGCAAGATATAAATGTTACTCATGAATAGAGCTGCTTCCCCATGTCCCTCTGCTACTCTTTGACAGTAAAAAGCAGTAGAAGGTTTTCAGCCAGCTTTCTGTACTTTTTTTCAAATTAGTTGTTCTTAGAGATTCCAGACTATCGGCATTTTGGCTTTTGATAAACCATTACTGGACGCCTGCCCTACTCAAAGAAGTAACCTTCAGTACAACCAGCTTCCATGACTGCATGGATTGAACTGCGTAAATATACCTGCTGGTCACACATGCTAAAGAAGTGTTATGCTAACATTTGCTTCTTAAAGAAAGATAAGCAATAGTTCCATTTTAGAAAGCTACTGGTTAGACAGAAACCAATTTTAACACTTCTCCTAAATTAAGACAATTTAGAAACACACGCAAAACCCTAGATGACCATGCACAGTCTGAAGTGACACTTTTAAATCCAGGCTATCTGTAATATGACCAGCAGATGTTCATCTAAAATTACCTCAAAATTTCCTATTCTCAAGCTTACTGACTTATGTTTCAAATATTCTAACAGAAAAGCTTCTCAAAACACAAACCAGTATTAATAAATTAATAGCTGACAACAAAATTCCAGTGACAGACTTTTAGCTGGCATCAGCTGCATGACCCCTAACAGTTTTCAACAGACCTGAATAACACTGACAGGCAGTCATTCTTGTAATTCATTCTACAGCCTTTTTCACTCACATCACTGTTTTTGTAAACGTGAAAATTGTCTGCATCAGATTTGGTCAATGGTTCAATTACACACCCAGAATTAAATTCACTTTGAAAGTGATATAAAGGCCTACTGCAATGAAAGACTAAGTGCATATACATTTTAAAAAATTACTGTTCTGACACATTTTAGAATTGCCATTACTAACTTACAGCTTCCCTACATTGCACAAACATTCTGAAATGTTTTCAGCCCCTGCCTTTAAGGACTGACCTGCTCTACAATTAAAAATGCATATGTAAGTCTATCCAGAAATGTAACCATGAGGCACAAGGGGGGAATAACATCATATGATAAATGAAAATATGCCAAGATACTGATACTACAGAATGGCTTTTTAAACATACCATTAAAAGGCAGCTAAATTCAAAAACAAGAGTTCTCTCTAGTGGCACATCAGAAGTATTACAACTTGTTAAAATCAATAGTTACAGATGATATTCAAGGGAAAATAGAACAGATATTTGAAATTTTAGTCATTGCTTAAAACAAAGGACTTGTTAAAAAAATTCCCCCCAGTATCCAAAATGTGATCACTACAGAAACAGATGAAGTCCATCCAGGACACCAAAATTCTCAAACAAATAAAAGTTAGAGAACTAGGTGGACAGCAAATGGTGTGTTAAACTTGAGTACTATTTGTTTTAAATTATTCTCCCCAGTCAGGACCACAGCCCACCTATTGCTGGAGGTTTTATACACAACACAGGCTGAGCAGTATCTGTCAAAAAGACTTAAGAAATTAAATCACTATTCCTGAGAAGACTTGTGGATAAGATTGGCTTAATTCATTGTCAGTAAACAGGACCATTCACAACACAGCACACTCCTACTTCAGTCTTTACAGGACATGTTGGGGTAAATAGGGTAAGAAATAGAGTAATATCTTGTCACAACCAGATGAAGCCTCTTAACATTTATTTCCCATATAATCTACCTGTGATGCTGCAGAAAAAACTAGTTTCATAATAAATTATGTAAAAAGCAAGAATTGAAAGAGTAAAATTAAAGGAGGCCAACTCACATGATAAGAGTGGGACAAAGTTTCACTACAACTTAAAAGAGATCTTCTGAATACTACATTGTGATCTAAAGATAAAGACTAAAAACTCTCAACACTTTTTCCAGGCCAGTTAGAATTTCATTTTTCTAATTATTTTGTCCATTTAAGCATTTATATGTGGAAGGCATGGCACAATTATACTTACTCTGTATATAAATCTTCTATCATTGCAACAACAATGACTATAAGAGACACAGCAAAAATCTGACAACCAGAACCAATAAGCGATGAAAATATTAGAGGATGACTGGATGGTCTAAAAACATCTCCATGGACCTGCTTCCACCCATACTCATCACCTAGATCTCTGTCCTAGGAACAACGACAAAAAAATTTTAAGTTTAGTCATGACAATTAATGACAAACACACAAGCTAGGCATAAATTAAAGGTTTGACTTATCAAAGCAACTTCAAGTCCAATTACGTCTTCTCTCCTGAATGCATCAAATCTAGGAGAAAAGTTTACTTTTCAAATTACTACCTGAATGTATGATGCAGTAAAATCTATCAGATTCCCTCCCTGTCCCTAAAATCCTCTGAAGTGCTTAGGAATATACACAGGCTTCTCTTACACACTCAGAATGGACCTTGTTTAACCTAAGTGTGGATATGAACATTAACACTGTGACTACAGACAGAATTCTGGGTTGCAACCTAGGAGCACGTTATAAAGAAAACCAGTAACACTTTCAAGATGCACATAAGGCAGTTTTCTATCCAACTGCAGAAAGCTATTCCGAGCTGCTAACACAGTGAATAGGCAAAGAGAAAACAATAAACCTTAAAAAGAGAGACTTAAAAAAGCTTGAGTGCAGATCTTACCATATCATCCATTTCTTCCTCTTTGCTGTATCTTGCATAATCTTTTCGCAAAGTTCTCATTAATATCATAGACACTAGGCCAACCAGAAAGATCACCATCATAAAAGAATTGAAAATTGAAAACCAGTGAATCTACAAAAAGAAAACACATTCCTAAGGTTTAGAACTCTAGATGTGTTTCAAATTTGTTCTGATAAGAATAAATCCCTGCCTAGCAGGAGAGCTTGTCAGCACTAGCTAAGTAACAATAAACCCGTTTTGCAAATAACACTACTTTTGTAGAAAGTCCCACTAAAACTGACCTGTGAAATTCCATACATAAAGCCTTTCACCAGCCAAACTTGCTCATGACGAAGTTAGCACAGCTTAGTTAAGCATCAGTAAAGTTCAAACAACTGGCTGCACATGCTCCTTTGGTAAAAGAAAGGCAACGCGATCTACTGTTGCCTTCCTAGAGAAGACGTTTAAGTAGAAGAAGGGACGTTCACAGCCAAAAAGCCAAAGGAACCATAGCTTTGAACAGGACCAAAATGTGCAGCAGCATTATTTTGCCTCTGACAAGCACATCTTCTAGTTTTCACCGAGCTCCAAATAGAATAAAAACCCTCTAATTTCAGAAAGTAGTATAGCTTAGTATACTATCCTTCAGGAGATTATAACCACACGTTCAAATCATCACAACCGAGATCTCCAATTGGTTTAGGCTAACGCTTTTTGCTTTGCATTTACTTCAGTAAAAAGTGCACATATGACCAAGAACAGTTATTCAGCTTACAAGTCATACAGTTGTGTTCCTGAAACTTCATTGTTTTCGACCATGTGAATAAATTTTCTTGAACTGCCTTGTACTTGCTGCAGGCTTGAAGCTTGCCTGCACATTTACTGAAGCACTCTAAAAAACTGAAGTCATGCTGTTTGAGCAACAGAAATATCACTTAAAACCTACAATCCTAGACCTGCCTGTTTCATTGTCCCAGAACACCTGGGACATCCAAAAATTCAAACATGTCATCTAAAAATTCCATATCATCTTGTGAACTAAAACAACCATTTCAAAGTGATATTTTGTAGGGTTGTCTTAGAACAATACATACTCTGTGCTGAAAGAAAGATGGGTCAAGATACTTGTCAAATCGGTCTTCAAACTTCACATCTGATTTCTTCCATTTCACCTAATGGGAGAAAAATTTACACTTGAAAAGCTCATTATAATATGTTCAGCTATACTCACATGCAGAAATACAAAACACATTTTAAAAATAATCCACTTCAGATGTTTTCTTCAATATGAATAGAGGTTTTTGCAAAAACAATGGACTGATGTTCTTGAAGACCAGTATCTACAGGTCAGACATAGAATGAACATTTTTTTTGTCAGCAAAACTGCTACCATGGACTT